CTAAATATTTAGTTTATAAACTATATTTATAAATGTATGAATCATATGGTGAAAACTGACTTTGAAAAATAAATCTGTTCTTTTTTTCTTATAAAAGGCTAAATAAAACAAAAATATTGGTGGTAATTTTTGACTGTGACTTTACAAACGGCACCCCATATTCACGCTCCTGTGAGTTTGTGCTGCCTTTGCGAAACCGAATCTGCTCCCGGGACAGTAAAATGCCAGATGATCTGATGTATGTTGTCCAAAAGTAGRTTGTCTCACACTAAAAGGAGCTGCAATTAATCACATGGGTGGCTCCGACTTTTTCCATAAATAACATCCCACTTCCATGATAGTGAGAACACAAACAGCTAAACACAGTAAATTACACCACCTTACACACCGCTTTGTCTTTAGCAGCTGGTGGCAATAAGTTTAATATCTAGAGATGGCTTCAAACTGATGAGCATAAATCTAAGAAGCTGATTGGACAGTGGTTTGTTCCAACTCYTGCTACAAAAGAAGCATCTGATCCATGAAATGAAGCCACAGGCAGGAAGAATCCTCCAACAGGCTGAAATCGCAGCACAGAGCATCAGAGTCATCTGCGCCTGCAGAGCTGGGCTGCAGCACTAATCTGGGACAGTGTGTGCATGTTCAATCTGCTGTCACCAGACTGGATGTGTTGATTTTCCAACTTTAGTCAAAAGCTGAAGCTTAGTTTGTCCAGTGAGATGCATCACTGCTGTGTGAGTCTTTGAAACACCTGAAAGGATGAAGCTTYCAAACATTCTGATTTATTTCTGAAAAATAAATAGATTATCGGAAATTCATAGTGTTTCAATGCTGACGTGTCTACCGATCATCTCCAGCAGGGCTTTAAGCACACATGAGCTGACACACAGACAGATCAAATAGTGTGAGCAGCTGAAGTGGGTTCTCTCCGGTGGGACGGGTTGATTTAAGTCATCCTGCTTAGCTGGTGATATCTGGAGGAGCCACACAAACCCAGCGAAAACCTAAAACCTAACACTGCAGACTCATCTGGGAGGAGGGATTTCTACCGTCTAAAAATATATCATGGATTCAGCAGGTTTCCCAACTGGTTGAGTCTGGCTTTGTTAAGTTTTTAATCATGTAAGTGCTGAATCATTTATGCTGTTTTATTTATAAAGTATTTTTTCAGTCTTTTCATTCCTGCCTTCTTTGTCCTACTTAAGGGAATCTTAGATTGATAAGTTCAACTCATTCAGGAGATGAGAGATATGATTTTAAGTTTTTGTACATTATATATATATTTTTTTTCTTCCCTTCTCACCCTCCGCGGGTGGTCTCTTTCATCCTCTGAGCTCGGGTCCTCTACCAGAGGCC